ACGCTCTCCACACAGGTCCACTGTGAATCACTCGTTCCGGAAGAGTTTCTTCTGCTGTTTCCTCCCCTACTCTTCCTTGAACCTGCAGTATCTCCACTTTTATTAAACTATCTCTCCCCGGACTATCAGTGTGCTCCCTTCCTATTCCGCCATCTTGCCTCTCCTCAGTTTAGTATATATTAAGTAAAGATTTCAACAGCTTGCACCCACATAGAAACACAAAGTGAAAAATACTGTTCGAGTACTAGTTATAGCATTAAATCACAATGTACAGCACATTAAGGACAGAGATCCTACATGAGGAGTAAGTGCACAGTGACTCCTGTTTTTGACTTAACAAATTGACACTCTTGTTTATGGCATCAGTCATCACCCTAGGCTCTTGTCATGAGTTGCCAAGGCTATGGAAGCCTTTTGAGTTCACCAACTCTGATCATATTTAGACAAGGTCGTAGTCAAAGTGGAAGTTCTCTCCTCCCTTCAGAGAAAGGTACCTCCTACTTTGATGACCTGTTCCTTTCACTGGGATCTCACTCGTGGAGATCTTTCATTTAGGTTTTGTTTGATTTTTTACATCTATGTTCATCAAGGAAATTGGTCTGTAATTCTCTTTCAATGCTGCATCTTTTCCCGGCTTAGGGATTGAGGTGATGCTGGCTTCACAGAAAGAATTTTGGAGGATTCCTTCTCTTTCGATTGTTCTGAATAATTTAAGAATTGGAGTTAGTTCTTTTTTAAATGTCTGGTAGAATTCAGCAGTGAATCCATCTGGTCCTGGGATTTTCTTTGTTGGGAGGGACTTTATTACTGATTCAATTTCTGTCTCAGTTATGGGTCTGTTTAGGTTTTCTATGTCTTCATGGTTCAACTTAGGTAGGTTGTATGTGTCCAGGAATCAATCCATTTCTGATAGATTTCCCTGTTTGCTGGCATACAACTCTTTGTAGTAATTTCCGATGACTCTTTATTTCTGTGGTGTCTGTTATTACATTCCCTTTTTCATCTCTGATTTTATTGATTTGGGTCTTTTCTTTTTTAGTTAGTTGGGCCAATGGTGTGCCAATTTTGTTTATTTTTTCAAAAAACCAGCTCTTTGGCTGATCTTTTGTAATTTTTTTTTGATTCAATTCTGTTGTTTTCTTCTCTAATTTTAATTATTTCTCTTCTCCTACTGGTTTGGGTCTAGTTTGCTGCAGTTTTTCTCGATCCTTGAGATGTATTGATAGCTCATTTATTTGGTGCCTTTCAAATTTCTTGATATAGACGCCTATTGCTATAAACTTTCCTCTTAACACTGCTTTTGCTGTATCTCATAAATTTTGATATGTTGTTTTGTTATCCTCATTTACTTCAAGAAAGTTTTTGATTTCTCTTTTGATTTTCTACGACCCAGTGTTCATTCAGGAACATATTGTTCAGTCTCCATGTGTTTGCATATACTCTAGGGATTCCTGAGTTGCTAATTTCCAGCTTCATTCCACTGTGGTTTGAGAAGTTGCATGGTATGATTCTAATTCTTTTGAATTTGCTGAGACTTGCTTTATGGCCTAGTATGTGGTCAATCCTAGATTAGGTTTCATGTACTGCTGAGAAGAATGTGTATTCTTCAAGTGTAGGATGAAAAGTTCTGTAGATATCTGTTAGATCCATTTGGTCTATAGTGTTGATTAAATCTGCTGTTTCCTTGTTGATCTTCTGTATGGTTATCTGTCTATTTGTGAAAGTGGAATATTGAAGTCCCCCAATACTATTTTATTGGAGTCTAAGTCCCATGACAGTAGTTATCATCCCCTTTCTTCTGATGTAGGACTCCCTTAAGCATTTCTTGAACGGTCCGCCTGATAGTGATGAACTGCTTCAGTTTTGGCTTGTCATGGAAAGCCTTTATTTACCCTTCATTTCTGGAAGATATCTTTGTGGGTGTAGCATTCTTGGTTGGTGAGTTTTTTTTTTTCTTTCAGGACTTTGAGTATTTCATCTCATTCTGTCCTGTTTTACAAGTCCTGTCATTAATGGGGATTTCCTTATTAGTGACTTGATGCATCCCATTTGCTGTTTTTAGAATTCTTGGTCTCATATTTTTGACAATTTGCCTATAATATGCCTCAGAGAGGACCTGTTTGGTGATCTGTTAGAGGTTCTTTGGCATTCTTGGACCTGGATATTCAAATCTTTCCCAAGACTTTAAAGTTTTTAGCAACTGTTTCATTGAATAGGATTTCTATGATCTTTCCTTTTTCTTCTTTCAAAATAGACATGCAAGCATTTGCTTGCTTAACTGTGTTCCATGAGTCTCAAAGACTTCCTTCATTACTTTTCATTTCTTTTTTCTTTTTTGTCTCATTGAGTTATTTCAAAAGAGGTATCTTCAAGATCAGATATTTCTTCTGTTGTTCAAGTCTTCTGTTGAGGCTCTCAAGCATATTTTTATTTCATTTTTGAGTTCTTTAGATCCAAGATTTCTGATCCATTTTTAAATAGTTTCTGTCTCTTTATAGTCTGTCTCATTCATTTCATGAACTATCTTCCTAGTTTCCTTGAATTATCTATCTGGATTCTCTTATTTATATCTCATTCACTGTTCTTTTAAAATCATTATTTTTTTTAACTTTTATTTAATGAATATAAATTTCCAAAGTATGATTTATGGATTACAATGGCTTCCCCCACATACCGTCCCTCCCACCCACTACCCTCCCCTTTCCCACTCCCTCTCCCCTTCCATTCACATCAAGATTCATTTTCGATTATCTTAATATACAGAAGATCAGCTTAGTATACATTAAGTAAGGATTTCAACAGTTTGCTCCCACACAGAAACATAAAGTGAAAAATAATAGATGATTTTTTTTAAATGATGATGAAATCAGATCAGACCTATTGTCATGTTTAATCCCAGTGAGAGTCAAGTTGGGAGTTGAGAATTTCTTTTCTTTTCTTTTTTTTTTTTTTACAGAGGAACAGTTTAGTATACATTAAGTAAAGATTTCAACAGTTTGCACCCCCATAGAAACACAAAGTGAAATATATTGTTTGAGTACTCGTTATAGCATTAAATCTCAATGCACAGCACATTAAGGACAGAGATCCTACATGAGGAGTAAGTGCACAGTGACTCCTGTTGTTGACTTTACCAATTGACACTCCTGTCTATGGCATCAGTAGTCTCCCTATGCTCCAGTCATGAGTTTCCAAGGCTATGGAAGCCCTCTGAGTTCTCCGATTCTTATTCTTTGTCAGGCAATTCATTGATTTGCATTTCTTTTTGGTCTGTTGCTACCCTGGTGTACCCTTGGAGACCTCATTCAGCTCATTTCCTTCCAGCAACTCTTTCCTTCTTGCCTTCTTAAATGCATCTTTTCTTACTATTGAACTAAAACTGGGAATGATGGCCTCACCACTGCCTTCTTTAGGTTTTATGAAGGTAGTTTGGTGTGTGAATAGCTTATCAAATTGATGTCTCTGTGGAGACAGAATTGTTGGAAAATCTCAGTCACCTTAATCTGCCTTCAACAATTAGCATTTAGATTAAAAATATACATATATATCATAAGTTATGGTCTGGCTTTTTTTCTTGCTATTCTAATTTTCTCCCTTTGTCTGCCCATTCACATATAATTTGTTTTAAATGACGTATAGTCCCTATTCATCACTAGGGATGCACAATGGATATTACAGAATCATGATGAGGAAAAACTTCTGCCTTTCATGAATTTTCATGTTAATATAAAGAAGTAATAAAGAATGCATTTTATTGATTCAGCTTTAAATAGATGAAAGTCTTATACCTCTAATTGCTCCAAAGTGAAGGTTTACCCATTTAACAACCAAGAACTGCCTTGAATGCTTTCTACGCTCTAGGCAGTTATTAGTGTTGACAGCAAAAACAGTATTTTTTAAATTATTATTTATTTATTTATTTTTTGACAGGCAGAGTGGACAGTGAGAGAGAGAGACAGGGAGAAAGGTCTTCCTTTGCCGTTGGTTCACCCTCCAATGGCCAACGTAGCCGATGCGCTGCGGCACCGCACTGATCCGAAGGCAGGAGCCAGGCGCTTCTCCTGGTCTCCCATGGGGTGCAGGGCACAAGCACTTGGGCCATCCTCCACTGCACTCCCTGGCCACAGCAGAGAGCTGTACTGGAAGAGGGGCAACCAGGACAGAATCCGGCGCCCCGACTGGGACTAGAACCCGGTGTGCTGGCACCGCATGGCAGATGATTAGCCTATTGAGCCGTGGCGCCAGCCCAAAAACAGTATTTTTAAATACTCCCTCTTACTGGTGATCACACATGTGTTATCACTAGAACATATATTGAAATATGAACAAAGTGTTTTCTGGCAAAAATATTCACTCCTGCTACTTGGAACCTGAGAGTGAAGGTTGAGGAAGCCCAGAAAGATCTCAAGAACAATTTGTACATGAAAAAAAGTTGGAAATACAAGTTAAGTGGGGCCTCTGAGCCATAAGAATCCACAACTACAGGAAACATTCAAAACAACCCGCCTGAGACCCAGAGAGGTAGACTTCAGTTTGCTCATTCAACCCTAGTGCTTTTTATGAAAGTTTTCTCGATCCCTAAGGTTAAAATATTTCATTTATTCATAATGCCTAATTGAAACCCATAGTAAAAGTGGTAGCTTTTTTCTGAAGCAGAATTCTTGAGTTTCTGCAAAATGAGGTTTCAAAGCTCCAAAATTTATCTCTGTAGAAAGTAGCCAAAAAATATATTGAACAAGGCAAGCAGAACAAATGATCTCTCCTTTTATGCTATTCAGAAATATAAATGACAAGACCAGGAACCGCTGCAGCAGCAAGGCAAAGCCATGTCTGTATTTGATACAGATAGGCAAAATAAGGTCCATCTCTCTCACATTTTACTGTAAAGCAACAAATTTCTAGCTTCTAAATAAGGTAGGATGTAAACTTATGCAGTTTTGTGAGAACATTGGTTTTTTATGACATACGATCTACAAAATAATGTTTTCCTAACTCATTAGGCCAAATACAAGGATCAGAGGCCCTGTCATGACTACAGATGGCTCTCAGAAGATAATCAAGAAGCACATCACACTGCTCAACGTGTATTCTCCCTAAGCAACAGCTTTGTCCACCTGGAGCCTCTGTCACATGAACTTCCCTGTGGTCAAACTCAGATGATTCGAGCACATTATATTTTGAATGAACAGGTTGTACAGGAGCTAACAGAGCTCACCTTTTACTATCTGGTAAGAAGGGAGGTCATTGAATTGACTCATCTCTCAGTAAATACTCTCTGTGGGGCAAGTACTTACAAAGCTCTTTGTACATCACTCTTAGACTTCTGATCCATGTTCCTTCGAAAGTTTGACTTCTCTTGCAGTTAATTATTGACAGCCTGAACCCAATGAAATAAGCAAAGTGCATAGAAGGCAAGGTTAAGATCTTCATAAGGAAAACAAAATTGCTTTCTTTTTCTCTTTTTTGCAGATAATGGCAAAGGGAGGCATTGTTCTAACTGGGACTCATACGCTGCCTGTGGAGCAGGGTAACAGTGAGTATTTTCCATAATCTCCACATTTCTGCTCCTTTATGACACATTCAAACCTTAAACTACAGAAATATCAGAAATTCATTCAAATCAAGACAGGTAATTTCCTTCTAATCACAATAAAGGGAAGTTGAGGGAGGGAATTGAGGGAGGGAATGCAATAATATTTTTTCACCCCATATCAAATACTTGTTTACTTTTTTCAGTACATTCTATTTTAGATTATTTGAAATCTATGCTTATTCCAAATGGCCAAACCATAAATATCTATTGACTCGCTTCTCAAAAAGTTTTGGAGTTCTTTCTGTATACCATGTCTTGCACTGAGTCATTTATATCTCTATACATATCTTACTTATCTTTTGAAAGTAGTTATGATTTATGAAGTGTTAAGTTAGGTATTTCCTACATTGCATTGAACTCTTATCATGAACAAATAAGGAAAACTATAAACATATGAAAGTTTCTTCTATCCTAATGGAGTCTAAAGGATGACTTTTTAGAAAACAATCACTGATAGCTACACTTTGGTTCTGTCTTCATAGCAACACATTAGTAGATTGGGAAAGCTTTACGAAACCTTTAGAGAATCTGCATAGGCTTTAAAACTAACTTCTGAAGAAGCTTAGTAATTGTGGGGAGCAACTCGGACTAGACTAAGTTACTGGAATTAAGACTTATTCTATGCATCTGCTCTCCCACAATATGGTGCTGGGAGAGGAGTAAACAGCTTCTACGCAGCTGCCTCTCGCCAAGTTGAGTGATGACCTGCAGGAGCTGATGCTGCTCCTGATTGCAGGAGAGCAGCGTACTCCGCGTGTGGGTAGCAGAGTTGGGATTGGTGGAAGAGGACTATAAAGGAGGAGAGAGACAACATGCACCATGAACATCTAAGGGGAACACCTGAGGAACATCTGAGCAGCCCCCCGAGAAGCCCCCGAGAGAGCCGGCCGGCGGTGTGCCGCTCCCCCGCGGAAGTGGGGAAAGTGGCAGGGGGAACCGCCCTTCCACGGAGGTGGAAGGGTCGGTAGCCCACCCGGGAAGAACCAGCAGCAAACCCGGGAAGGGCCGAGCAGACAAAAGAACAGTGCAGGGTCCTGTGTCGTTCCTCCACGAAGAGGGGGAGCGACAAGTAATAATTTTATTGTAATAATATTCTATCAAGGACAAAAGAAAAAATATTTGCAATGTAAGGTTAAGGTTTTGTATTTTTTTTTATTTATTTTTTGACAGGCAGAGTGGACAGTGAGCGAGAGAGACAGAGAGAAAGGTCTTCCTTTGCCGTTGGTTCACCCTCCAATGGCTGCCGCGGCCGGCGCGCTGCGGCCAGCGCACCGCGCTGATCCGATGGCAGGAGCCAGGAGCCAGGTGCTTTTCCTGGTCTCCCATGGGGTGCAGGGCCCAAGCACCTGGGCCATCCTCCACTGCACTCCCTGGCCACAGCAGAGGGCTGGCCTGGAAGAGGGGCAACCAGGACAGAATCCGGCGCCCCAACCGGGACTAGAACCCGGTGTGCCGGCGCCGCTAGGCGGAGGGTTAGCCTAGTGAGCCGCGGCGCCGGCCCAATGTAAGGTTAAAGAGGATGTAAGCATAAATACAATTTTAAGTTTCCTTACCTTCTAGAGTGAGATGTAGATGGAATGGTTGCGAAGTACATGTCTTCATACACTTTGATAGCATCAGAATGCCATGCAGATGAGCTAAATCTTAAAATTGGCGATAAACCAATAGGTGACTTAAATACAAAAGACAAGATTTGGTAAAGGTTCTTTTCCTGAAGTTAGGGTTCTTAGAGGTAATCATCTGATATATGTGCTATTTATTAGCTCTACAAACAGTAAGTCATTAACCAGACCAGAACCCTACAATAACTGTGCAAGAGAATAATTTCATTTCAGCTCTTGGAGATGTCCAACCTGTGATCACTTTCTCTCTTTCTTTCTGTGCTGCAGTGAAAGGGCATTTTTCTGTGTCAATCCCTGTGGAGTTAAACATAGCTCCCATTGCACGACTGCTCATCTATACCATTTTACCTGATGGGGAAGTAGTTGGGGATTCTGAAAAATATAAGGTTGAAAACTGTCTGGTCAACAAGGTGAGTGTTTTATATGATAAAATTTAAACTTTAAAGCTGTAAATATTTTATAGTAAGTAGACATATTTATAGTAGAGGTGGGCATTTGGCATGGCAGTAAGATGCCTCTTGGGATGCTTGTACCCCTGTATGAGTAGCTGAGTTACAGTCCTGGCTCTTCTCCTGATTCTAGCCTTCTGCTTATGAGCACCTTAGGAGGCAACAGGTGATGACTCAAGGAACTGAATCCCTGCTACCACATGGGAGCCTCAAATTGAGATTTTGGCTCCAAGTTACTGCAGACATTGGGGAATGAATCAGTGGATAGGAGTGCATGCCTCCTTGTTCTCTCTCTCTCTCCTTTTTTAAATAAATAAAATAAATTGGTAAAACTATTTAAGAAAAGATGAGTTATAATAGTTAAATTCGTTCTTGAAAATCAAAGTTAAATATAAGGATTAAAAAAATGTCAGAATTGACATAATGCCAACCAACAGGAAGTCAAGAGAAGTAGTTACATATTGAACACAAGAAACAACCAGATAATACAGGAGAATCCCGGTAAAATAAAGACATTTATTTTTTCTGAGCTTCCCCTTCCCCCCAATTCCACAGGTGAATCTGGGCTTCAGCCCAGCACAAGGTCTCCCGGCCTCACACGCCCAGCTGCGAGTCGAGGCTTCTCCTCAGTCCCTTTGCGCCCTCCGCGCTGTGGACCAAAGTGTGCTGCTCATGAAGCCTGAGGCCGAGCTGTCCTCATCCGCGGTGAGTTTCCGTCAACCTCTGGGCTCAGGAAGGACCTAGCAAGGGAATCAGAGCAGGAAGAAATGCTTATTTGAATAGGATAAGAGCAATTAAAATTATATTCTATCTGGAACTTAGTAGTTTTGAGCTCTTTCCTGGGTACTTTCTTCAGTGAGAAAGATACATTTAATCTTTTTTTTCCCCATGCTTACACACACAAGTACATATGAGTTTCTAGATGCTCGTTTAAATAAAACTTGAAAACACTTTGTATGGATGTCCATTTTCCCACAAGCATTTTAAAGCATACACACACACACACACACACACATACACTTCAAAACACTCATGGGAAAATGGAATTAAAAGTTTATTTTGTTGCGAAGATTTTTAAAAATATATACATGGCTTTTTTTTTCATAATGTGCATTTTACGTGAACTTTTTGAAGAATCCCATACATACATATATCACACATATACACAAGCCACATTAGTTTTTGCAGATATAAAAAACAAAAAAGAATTCACTGCCTCATATATTGAATCAAATATATTGAAGCATAAAAGGTGATTTAAAGAACTTCTAATTCAGATACATTAAGGTTCTAGCTTAAGGTCACATGGCAATACAAACTCAAACCTAACTCTTAAGCCATCCACAGATGCACTGCTGGAGAGAAAGCAAGGTAGACTGTGTAAAGTGTTGTAAGACAGGTAGAGGTGTGCAAAACAGAAGGAATAATTAACTCTAAGGTATCAAGGAAGTCACTTGAAAACTTTACATAATTTTTACATTATATGTACATATTTACATGATATATATATGTTATATGTACATAGGCCACTCACTCTCCAAAGTCTCTGACATTTCAGAGTTTCATGAATCCAATAACATGAATTTTCAAACCAATTTTATCATTTTGAAAGTCACAATAAAAGTGATACATTTGCCTGCACTAAGACTTCACAGGCTGAATGAAATAGCAAGCTCCCATTTTTACAAAAGTTATATCAGTGGAAATAACTGATGTTTCAAGTTGAATATAGTTTCTGAAGGAAGATAGGTGCTGTCTCTGCTGAATAAAAATTGGGATAAATTAATTGCTAGACATACTTGATATTAGTCTATGAAATAATTTAAAGTCCAGGTTAATAGAAGAAATAGCAAGAGTGTACTGTAGTGGAACAACAAGAAACTACTTAACAACATACTAATAGTAGTTTGCTTATACCTTCATATTTTCAACATGAGTTCATATGGAATAAACTCTTCTGAAGTTTGTTTTATCATCAAAATTGTACAAAGGGAATTTTTTCTTCCACCAAATAGGAACTTATAAGAAAATATGTCTTCCTTTTTAGTCCTTCTAATAAGTTTAATTGAAAATATTAGGGGGCCGGCGCTGTGGCGCACTAGGTTAATCCTCTGCCTGTGACGCCGGCATCTCATATGGATGCAGGTTCTAGTCCCAGTTGCTCCTCTTCCAGTCTAGCTCTCTGCTGTGGCCTGGGAAGGCAGTGGAGGATGGCCCAAGTGCTTGGGCCCCTGCACCTACATGGAGACCAGGAGGAGGCACCTGATTCCTGGCTTCGGATAGGCGCAGCACTGGCCTTAGCAGCCATTTGGGGAGTGAACCAATGGAAGGAAGACCTTTCTCTCTGTTTCTCTCTCTCATTGTCTGTAACTCTACTTGTCAAATAAATAAATAAAAATCTTTAAAAAAAAGAAAGGAAATATTAAAATAATTTGAAAGGAAACATTTCAGTACTGGAAGCCAAAAGATGTTTAGAAAAGTAACAGAAATGTTTTACATTCCTACAACATAATTTTAGAGTTCTCATTTTTTTTTAAAAAGAACAATCTTGGTGGATTGAATAGGCAAATAGTTCTATTTAATTTGTTGATAATAAAGTAGAAGCTTTCAAGTATTTAGTAGTAGGCCTAGGTGACAACACTAGTTCCTTTAATCTTTGGTTTATGTTTTACTAATGAAACAAATTCCTACTAGTAATTAAGTCATTCATTCCACACTTATTTGCTTAATGCATACTGTATTCTAGGCACTACACCAAGTGTGGAGAATCTGATCATGAAATACTAGAACAAAAATCCATTATTATTTCTGAAACTTCCATTTTCAGAAATGAGACAGGCAATAATTATATAACATGTTTTGCAGAAAAACGAAACAGGGTCAGGAAATGGGGCATGTTACTACAAGGAGTCGCCTTTGAGATAGTGTCGAATTTCAACACTCCTGCACACACAATACAGTACATCTGTCAACTTTTTTATGTCTGTCTTATTTCTCCCCTTTAAATGGATTTGAAAGTATCATTTTCAGTATTTTGTAGTTAATGTTCTAAATATTGAGTGAGTATCAGGAGAATTTGTTTCCATGAATAATACCTTAAAAATATCATCCTGCCCTATGTAGCGAATATATACAGTATTTACTCATATGCCTGTTTCAAACATGTATTTATTAACTTTGTTACATACTTGCTAACCACAAAATTGGGACAAAAATACCATTTTATTCTATCATCACAAAACTCTCTATATCTTAAATGTGGCAGACTTCAATACCTGAAGTTTTATTTCATTTTAGTAATAAATCTAATATTTGCATCTGAACTTTGTGACAAAATACTATGATCCTTGAGTATGTAGATCAAAGTGTTTTGGATTATTCTTGCTTTTTTCTCCTTGGATTTAAGCAAATAAATAGACAAGCCACAAATATATCTGCCCTTTGTCCTTTGCATTTGTGTAGGTTTATAACCTGCTACCACTAAAAGACCTCACTGGCTTCCCTGACCGTTTGAATGAGGATGAAGACGACAGCGATTGTATCAGTTACCATACTATCTATAGAAATGGAATCATGTATTCTCCGGTATCAAACACAAATGAAAAAGATATGTATAGCTTTCTACAGGTAAACTGCTTATGTTTTGTATATGGTCAGTTATTCAGATTATTAAAATATTATACATGGAAGAAATTATTTATCTTAGTGCCTTTTATCATGAATGAGGGTAATGGAACATAGGTAAAATGACTTCTCCAAGGGCACTAACAGTAAAAGATGTTCTAAAAATAATAGCACTAGAACTAGTGCTTTTTGGACTATGAATCAAGCTTTCTTTTTGATTGAAATGCATTGCTTTATGATATTTATAAATATCACATATATAAAATAATTACTGTTGAAAGAGCTTAAAGAACAAAATGAGATTACCACTATAATATGTTAACAACTCTTCTACAAATGCGAATATTAAGTTTAAGGTTGTTTGTTGGTTTGATTAGTAAATCTAGTGAAAAGAAGCATATGTATATATATTTTATAATATGTACATATGTATGCTGATTAGATGATAATTTTCTTTGCAGGATATGGGCTTAAAGGTATTAACCAACTCAAGGATTCACAAACCTGAAGTATGTTCAAAAACGGAGGTGTATGAACCGGATGTCTTCCGACATTCAGGTAAAGAATTATAAAAAGAAGTATTGACTAATATGTTAAATCAAATGAAAGGATTTTGAAAGATAAAATGTCACAAAAAGTAAAGCAAAGGGGACAAAAGTATAATTAAGATATATTAAGGCTCATGGCTCAAGTTCAAAAGTCAATACGAACCCAGATCTGACTGTGTTAAGCCACCCACAAATGCACAGCTGGAGAATGTAAGGCAGAGTGTGAAAAGTACAATGATACAGATACACAAAATAAAGGAGAATATCTGCTTCTGATAAATGAGATGGGTTGGGTTGAAAAAAGAAAGTTTCTAAGCACAGGATCAATGTAAACAGAAATAGAAATTGCCGCAAAACAGGGTTACATTCTCATTACTCAAGCAGAGAAGCTCTTCAGCTTTACCAAAACATCAGCCAACATTCACGCTGGAATCACTCACATAATCTGTGATGGGAGCTACTTCTTTCATGAATCAGACAGTAATCAAGCACTTATTGATAGTCTTATATTGTCAAATCACACTTGAAGATAAATTGACTTCAGACAGAAGAATGTAACATATCGGGGCAGGCCTTGGGACATAGCAGTTAAGCTGCTGCTTTGATGCTTGCATCCCCAATCAGAGTGCCTGGTTTCCAATCCAGCTGCCTGCTAATGCACATCTTGGGTGGGAGCAGGTGATGGCCCGAGTACTTGGATCCCTGCCACTTTCATGGGAAACCCAAGTGGAGTCCCAGTCCAGGCTCCAGGCTGCCTGGCTTCCTGGTCCAGTGTGGTTATTGTGGGCATTTGTGGAGTAAGCTGGTAGATGAAGCAACTCTCTCTCTCTCCTCTCTCTCTCTCTTTCTCTCAAATAAAAATAAATTAAAAAAAACCTGTTAAATATTCACTGAGAAACAATTGGTTATGTGTAATTAATTATAAAGATTATTTCACATTTTTATTTATAGCATATACTGTAATGCTTTATCAGTAAGATTTATAGTAAGCTGACGTGTATACAAGCACATGTTTCCCTCCCTAGGAGAAGTAATGGTTAAATATTTCCCATCATACCCCTAACAGAGAGTGAATGATGTGACAGGACCCAGTTCTGATCTTCTGACACCACATGGAGTAAAGAGCCTGTTTGATCTTTGATCCTTTCAGGCCTGTAAGCTGTTGCTCAAAACCGCTGTCATAATAGTATGTCGTGGTTTTTCTTTGCTCCCACAGAGCACGGCAATAGAAGCCAGGGCTCCTGCCTTCCTCCTAACCCCATGGTCACAGCACTTTTTTTCCACTTAGCAGTGTGGGCAGTAGCCACACACGACTCCACAGAGTCTTCTCCACAGACCATCTCATGCTGTTTCTGCCAAGGTCTCTGCTTTCTGTGCTTGGAATTTACTTCCTCTTGCTGAGCTTATTCCAATACTTGAGAATTCAGCTAACCTATCACCTCCCTAGAAAGACTTTCCCAAATCACACAAGCGCCCTCTGCTGACTACTCTCTATTTCAATACCCTACTTAGGTATTTGAAAGCACTTACTACAATCTTTCCTGAGCAGTATCTTTGTATTTATTTATTATTCCTGTCTTCTTTCTCACCCCACCCCCATAGAGCCAGTTGCAATGAGCAGCAGACTGTTAGGCAATGTAAAAGAAACGAGGGTTTCAGAGGCTCACAGAGAAACAGTCCGAAAGTACTTCCCTGAGACGTGGATCTGGGACCTGGTGGTGGTGGAGTAAGTAACTCTCTTTATATGTAAGAAGCAACCAGATATATACATCACAATTTTTAATTCTTGGTGAATTTTAATTTTTATTGCATGTATTTAGGGTGCACAGCATGATATATTGATACACACACACAAAGAAATGGTTAAGTAAAGCAAATTAACATCTCTCCTCACACTTTTTTGCATGTGTGATAAGAGAACCTAAATTCCATTCATTTTTCAAATTTCCAGTTTATGATATGGTACTATTAATTATAGTCTTCATGCTGTACATTAGATCTGAAGATGTATTCAGACTACATAGCTGTAGTTTTGTATGCTTTGACCTGCATCGCCCAATTCACCCCCTCCCGCACACTCCCTGTAATACCATTTCACTCTATGTATTCAACTTCTTTTTAGATTCTATATACAAGTGAGGTCTTGCAGTATTTTTCTCTCTATGTCTGGATTTATTTCACTTGGCATGATGTCCTCTGGGTTCATCAACATTGTCACAAGTGGCAAGATCTCTTTCTTAAGACTGAATAGCATTTCATCATGTGTACCACAATGTCTTTATCCACTCATACATTACAGATATTCTATGTCCATATCTTGGCTACTGTGAATAATAATGCAATGAACATAGGAGTGTGCATATCATATGGCGTGCAGATTTTGATTCTTTTGTTTTTATACCCAGAAAAAGGAGTTGAGTTGTATACTTCTACTTTTTTATTTACCTTTGTCAATGAAGTCCATATTTCTTATGCTCCCATGCTATTTAGGGTTCTTTCATTTCAATTTGACACATTCTCATTAGCATTTCTTGTTCTGCAAGTCTACAGGTGATAAACTTCCTTGACTTCTGATTGTCTGAGAAAAGCTTTATCTCCCCCTTCACTTTTGATCACTTTTGAAGGATGGTCTTGTTGGGTGTAGTATTGTTTAGCAGGAGTTTTTAAAATTCTTTCAGCACTTTGAACATATAAAGTGTCAGCAAAAATTCTGAAAAATGTGTACTATGAAAGATATGTATGAATTTCAAAAAAATTTACACCAAATAAACTTCCTTTAATTCATTTTTTCTACGGTTTTTAGAGAAGCCCTTGTAGAATTCAACCCCTTTATGGACTCCAAAGTTTCTGCTGTAAATTTCTCTAATTGTCTTATGGGTTTTCCCTCGTACATAAAAAAAAAAAAAACCACAAATTTTCTCTTGTTGCCTTTACAATTTTCTCTTCACCTTGACTTTTGTCAATTTTATTATAATTGTCTCCATGTGTATTTCTTTGGATTCATCTTATTTGGTGTTCTTTAAACTTCCTGTATATGGATTTATATTTTATTCCCCAGTTTTGGGGTGTTTTTAGCCATTTTTTAAAATTTAAATAAACTTTCTAGTCCATTCTATTTCTCCTAGATCTTTCAATTTATCCACAGGGAAAAGTTTGGGGTTGGAGATGATCTCCCATTCACTCAACTGAAAGCTACAGTGGCAAATACCTCCACTCTTGTTTAGACCACACATACTTTCAACTAATTTCTTTGTTCATTGTCACCTCCAAGGGCCTAGCAAATGTTTGTTCCTTCTATTCTCAAAGATAGGTAAGTTGGCTGAAGGTGCTCTATTTCTGGAGCAAACTACCGAAAGGAGTTGACGGAACTGAGCCCATATGTCCTCTCTGGCCCCCAGAGATAGTTGAAAGACTACTGATTAGCTGCTCCTTAAGTTCTCAGATGCAGGCTAATTAAGGGCCCAACCCTTAGGCAGCAGCTGGGAAAATTGACACATGAGATATTCAGTAAGATTCCTTCCAGAAAAACAAACAAACAAAAAACAACAACTGGAAGCTGGAAGTTGTTGCCTATTCTATGTCTGCTGATTCCAGGCAGAGAGCCACTGAAAATGCTCACACACATATTGAAAGCCATCTCTTTGATCTCTCTTCTCTTGGAGAATTTGAGAAAGCAGGTCCCATCCTTTCCCAGAACTAGGTGAGTAAGAACCCATCACCAGGAACATATCAGTGTTTTAGAGAAGAGAACTTAAGGACAATCTCAAATTACATACTTTGTTTGTAACTATATTGTCTGTAAAAGATTATACTACATTTATATGTCTATAGATGATTCTGATACAGATTAAAATTGAAAGCAGAGTTGGAACAAAAGGACTTTCATTTTTCCATCTCAAGCATTGATCATACTTTCTGTCATTTTTGCTGATTAAAACATTATAAAGCTTTAAGTATTTGATGGTTGAAAGATTACCAATCTAAGAATTTTTTTTAAAAATTCAGTTAACATGAGTTTAAAGAGAAGGTGACCAGGGTTTGGAGACAAAACAGTTGGTTTCTATGCTGTAAAATGTTTTTTCATTGAATTTATGTATTAGTTAAGTAGGAGAATGTACTATAGTCTTCAAGTCACTTAAATTTATATAGGTTATTAGCATTATCTTTAAATATACAATATAAAGAAAGCTATACATTCATGGCATATTAGCTTTGTTTTCCAAAACAAGAGGCAAATGCTCATCCAAAGACACATAGTCTGCCAAAGCAAAAGGTGCATACGAATGAGATACACACCCTTGTTTCCTCCACTATTGGGTTATTGACAAAATAATAAACAGTGCATTCTATTATTGTCATCTTACTTTTCATTGTTGCCTTCAGTAGCAAGAACTGGCATTTAAGGCCTGACATTAAACAGTTTAGGAACTGTTCACAATTCTCCTAGATGTAAAAACTAGAAATAAAAACTGGAAGATGGTCAAAGAGGTTTAAAAATTAGCAACACCATATAGCACCCATACTTGTGTAAATTTTTTACCTTAAAAAGGCAGCTATTACTCAAATTTGAAAAATTCCACAAAAGCTCTAGCCCCTTTCTGTGAATCAATTTCACTTTAAATAATGTTTTAGCGGAGTCTACAGTGCAAATATAAATTCATTATACCAGCCTTTTGGCAGCACTGAGGATCTAAGACAAGGCAATGCTACTGATCATCTGAAGATAATGGTGAAAGATGTTTGTGTTCTGATTTTTCCAATTCTTAAGAGCTTATCTGAATCAGTAGCATTTTTGTAAGAGCATTACAAAACAGTACTAAAATACTATTCCTGTTTTCAATACATTTTTAAAAACCTTTGCAAATACTACGCCAGTGTAAGTGACTACATATGGCTAGTATCACTGAGGAGTTTCAGCACTTTCTAGCAAAGACAGTCTGTACAATAGAGAATGTGAAAGCTCCCATTTCTAAGTCTTTGGTGCAGTTTTGGTAGGTGAGGGCTTGAATTCTGCCTTGGTGGGAAGAGGGAACTGGAGGATGAGCAAGATTATTGTGATTAGAACTAAGCACATAGCATTAACATGGTACCATTGAAGAGGTAGTTAGGAGCCGTGCTTGGTGAATTTGGACACCTATTAATGTCTCTGAGCCACTCTGGATCTCTGTGAATATGTTCTAGTGGAGGAGACTGAAGATTAAATGGACAGTTCATAAAGTATTCTGGAAGCCAAAGAAGACTGGTGGAAGGCTATCAGGAAGATCTCTTGGCAGTGGTGGAGGTGGGCTATGCAGAGTTCCATCAAATCCACCAGTAGGAACAGGAACTCAGGGTTTTATCCTTGAAGGAGGAGGTTGTCTTGGTGGAATAACATGAAGATCATGATGAGATTTCATATTCCTCTTAGAATTTGATGCATGATGATCAATGTTTATTCAAGGAGGAAGGAAAGGAGGAATCAGTGGCTCTTAGTTTCTGTAAACTACCACATGAACTGAAGAAAGACTGAATGTGGCAAAAGCACTGGAGCAAAGGAACTATTGCTGCCACAGGAACTAAGAAGCAGATACTGGTGGAATACTAGATGGCGTATTTAGAGAGGTTGATGTTGACACTGCTGATTCAAGCTTAATTTCAACAATTCAATCAAAGCTTATTTTATATGGCTCTCTGAGGGAGAACCATGGAGGTGCCTGAGGGAGAGCCATGGGGGCCCGTATTGGGCCTTATTCCAGGAGATTATAAGAAGAAATTTGATTCCCTGGGAAATTTAGGTTCCTATTTAGAGTTTTGGGGTTCAATTTCTAGAGACTTGCTCAATATATAATCTGTAAACTCTTTTTTAGATGAACTTCCTATGGGGTTAAGATTTTCGAAGAACCCCCTCATTTTTTATTCTATCCATAAACAGGAAGGCTGATTCTGATATTGCTGAATTTTTCCTGTAATTTCAGCAGCTTTTCTCCTCTTCCTGAAATTGATTAAATTTTCCCCTTTCTTTTTAAAAGATCATTATTTCTTTCTTTAGTCTTTATTACTCTCTGTTACTGATAATTCTATTGAGTGTATTCAAGTCGTAACAATAGATTCACTTGTAGGTGTTCTTTTCCCAGGAAGGATTTGTTCAACTGCTTACTTTCTGTTCTTCACATTTCATCCTCCCCAGCTCATCAGGTGTGGCTGAAGTAGGAGTCACAGTTCCTGATACCATCACTGAGTGGAAAGCAAGCGCCCTCTGCCTGTCCAATGACACCGGAATTGGTCTGTCTCCCATTGCTTCTCTCCAAGCCTTCCAGCCCTTCTTTGTGGAGCTTACAATGCCCTACTCTGTGATCCGTGGAGAAGCCTTCACACTCAAGGCTACTGTCTTAAACTATCTTCCCAAATGCATCCAGGTAAGGGGCTTTCTTTCCAAAAATGAGCAGAAGGTAGCATCCAGGTAGGCATGTTGACAAAATCCTTTGTATAATATACACACACCAGAAGAAGAATACTGAAAGTATTCTGAGGGAGATATACCCATATGTTATGTAAGTTATACTTACTGAAATACACAAGTAACAAATTGCAAGTTAAAACAAATTTGTAGCCCTTATCTCAACACTTTAAACTTAGGTAGCTTATATAATATAAAGATTGCTCACATAAACAATAAAAATCAGTGCTCTTCATTCTCATGTCCAGTTTTCTCCAAGAGTTCAACTTCTACACTTCAAAGTATTTAAATTTTCACATCTCATTTAATATATTAAATCTTATTTTAAAAGTTGTTTATAGGGGCTGGTGGCACTGTGGCATAGCAGGTTAAGCCACTATCTGCCAGGTCAGCATCCCATATGGGCACCGGTTTAAATCCCACTTGCTCTGCTTCCATTCCATCTCCCTGTTAATGTGCCTGGAAAAGCAGCAGAAGATGGCCCAAGTACTTCAGCCCCTGCACTCACCCAGAGGAAGCTCCTGACCTCTGGTTCCACCTGACCCAGCCATGGCCATTGCAGCCATTTGGGAAGTGAACCAGCTGATTGAAGACCTCTCTCTGCCTCTGCCTCTCCATTTCTGTAACTCCACCTTTCAAATAAATAAATACATTGCTCTAAAAAAGTCATTTACAATAATCTTACCTCTGTTGAAACAACAACTATTTATAAATCTTGTATACTCTGCTGGGAAAGCAGAGTATGAGGGTATGGTCAAAATCTAAGGCTAAAAAAGTAGAGTACACACAAGCAACCTACCATCACTACCTCACTTCTCCTCTGGTCACATCACATGAAATAACAGGTTACCTCAAAACACTAACATTCAGATGTCAGATCCATCTAAACATACTAAAACTAGTTTGTATTTGCCTACATCATCTTTAATATTAGGTAGCCTGGACTCTAACCAATCCATGTGCTTGTTTCCAAATCCAATCTCCCTCTGATCTTTTTCTATCTCTAATTTATTTGTCTCATATTGGTTGCAGGTCAGTGTGCAGCTGGAAGACTCTTCCCAATTCCTAGCTGTCCCAGTGAAGGAGAAACAAGAGTATCATTGTATCTGTGGGAATGGGCGGCAAACTGTGTCCTGGAAAGTAACTCCAAAGTCATTAGGTGGGGACAGACTCTTAGAAACCATTCATTCTTCAAGGATTCTATCAATGACGTCCTTATATCTAGCACTGCTTCCCTCAGGAAAACACCCCCAGGTGGCAGGATGCTATTTCCTCTCATTCTAGGATGTCTGGAAGGACATAACCACTTACCTATCTCCACATAAATCTTGGTTTCTCAGTGTCATTGACCTCTAATTTAGGCTGCTCCCATCCCTGCTCTTGTGTTTTTTAAAACAAAAGATGATGGGGCATTGGACATTTATAAGTACTTAGTTTGGAAGCATAGAAGAAAGGATTTAATGGAACTCATATCTACTGTAACTTTTTATTTTTTAAGGAAGTGTGAATTTCACTGTAAGCGCAGAGGCACTGGAGTCTCAAGAGCTATGTGAGAATGAGGTGGCTGTGGTTCCTGAACATGGGAAGAAAGACACAATCATCAAGCCCCTATTAGTTGAAGTAAGTAAGCCTGCCTACTTGACAAGTGGCTGAGCTATACAAAAACATTGACTTCAAAATATTTTGGAAAAATGGAATGAAAGACACTTTTTGGTATAAAAACTCTTTGAAATTCAGGCATAGTTTTCATGATACATATTTTCATGAAGTTCTCAAGGATCCTTAGTATGTAGTCTATAACAAATCCATAATAACATATATGCATACTATAATATTCCTATATATAACACATGTATGTTTAATAATATTATATTCTATCATCTATTTATCTATCATTTCTGTCTCTTGACTTATTTATTTTCCACTTGCTTTCCAATATATTAAATTATCCATTTCATATTGACTAAACTTACAGAATTATTTATTTGATGCAGTTCAAATTCTTCTCTTTAACAGAAAATGAAATCTGACCACAGAATCTGTGGTCACCCTACCAACACATATGTCCTGAAAATCAATCCATTCTCAATTAACTTTTCTTTCTTTCACCTAAAGCCTGAAGGACTAGAGAAGGAAGAAACATTCAACTCCCTGCTTTGTCCATCAGGTAAGAATCAAGTATCATAATGAAAATAACATTGATTAAAACTTGTCTAACATCTGAGACCCAAAAAGTTTCTCATGTTACTTTTATACCTTCTCTATGAGGTAAGTATGACCTGAAGTACAATTCACACATTTGACAAATCAGAAAACTGGTTCTTGGTAAGACCAAGTAGTTTGACTTGGAGGATATCCTTAGCTCGTACATTCTGAGTCTGTCTCTTGCAGCATCTATGCAAATACCAAGATGTGTTTCTGACCAGTGTATGATATAAGAATAGGTAGAAAGTGAGTAGAATCAAATGCATATTTCCAAAAGACATATTTCTCTGAATAATTAGTAATACAGCAAATGGACAGCTGAATTCATGGCATTCCAACACTGAGTTTTGTATATCAGGATTATCTACTTCCCAAAGAAAGAGATGCTGTGACCTTCATATCTGTTTGATGACAATACTGTACCTAAAATCCTGTCAATCTTTTAAGGAGAGACTTAAGAAACTTATAGTAAAAGATGTAACTTTATATTGACTGCTCTCAGAACTTCTTTCTTTGTCTTTATAGGTTTCCATTTTTTTATTCTCTTCTAACTGGACAGTTTAAAATATTCCATCTTCAAGTTCACTGATTCTTCTGCTAAGTTGAGTCTGCTGTTAAAACTTTCTGGTGACTTTTTATTTCAATCATTGCTTTCATCTGTAAGATTTCTATTTCATTTTCTCTTATTGTTTCTATTTTTTGTCAACCTTCTCCCATGGTTTATGTATTATTCCTCAAATTTGATTCAGTGTTCAATCCATATAGCCCTATAATCCACGGAACTTTTCAAGAGGAGTATTATGAATTCTTTGTCAGTCATTTCATGGATTTCAATTTGTTTACAATCAATTTTTTGAAGTTTGTTAGTTTCTTTTGGAGGTGGCATAACTCTGTTTCTTCATGATTCTGTTTCCTTGCATTGTTGCCTGCACATTTGAGGAGACAGCCAGTTCTCCTGGCTCCCACAGGTATTTTTGGCAGGTATAAACCTTCACTATTTAGTTTAGCCTGTGATTCTGAAGAGATCAGCTGGTGACAATCCCAGACAGGCAGAGCTTGTTGTGGGTTCTCTAGTTAGCTGGGCTGCTGACTTTGCTCTGATGTTAGGTGGGGCTGCTGGCTGGGCTCTGTTGTGTGGCAAGATCACTGGCTGAGCTCTGCTATCAGGGAGAGCTGCTCTCTGGGTACTGTAATGATCTGTGGTCAGGCCAGTTGCCAGGTGTATTTCTGGCTGGGTATTCCAGTGTTTGGAATCTTCAGTTTGCTAGGGCTGTGGACTGGGATGTAAGGTTAGATGGAGTCCCTGCTCAGGATGGACAGGAGTAGATACTTAGAAGTGGATGCTGGAGGACACCTTCCCTGTCTGGGTGGTCACGAGCTGTTTAGCTGCTGTTTGGTCTCCCTGGGTTGAGCAGGTATGACCCTTACCACTTCTCCAAAATGTATGGTGGTAGGCATGTCCATGTGTGCTGGGTGGGGTCACTAAGCAGGCTTTGTGGCTGAGATGGGGTACTCCTTGGATACACAAGACAAGCAGATTTATCCCTTAAATCTCTCTGAAGTATGTAGAAGCACGTACCTCCTTGCCTTGGCAGAGTCATCACAGTGGACTCTAAAGTTAGGGGAAAATACTAACCATTTAGGGACTCATGTCAGGTTGAACTTCCCACTGTGTTCCTGAATGCAACCAGCTCGCTTTGAACATAGGCTATACAGGTGGCTGGCATTTCTGGTTATGCATCAATGCTGGAAGGAACACACAAGTATCACCAAGATGTGCATGCATGCGCTATGAGCTCTGCCTGCCTCCTTTCTTTTTTTCTACTTGAATCTCCATGGCCTAGCTATGCTTTACCCCCAATACTACCTGTAAGGTGAGATCAAAGTGAGCATCCTGGGAATCATCTCAGAATGCCAGGGAAGCTGGATGACCAGTTGTGGTTCCCTTTTCCCTCTCCAGTGTGATAGTAGCAAAATCTCCATCTGGCCATTGTGCCAACTTGGGGAAAGGGAAGGGTGGTATGATCAAAGAGAGACCATCCTTCTTACCCTGCTAATAGATACACAAATGTCACATACTTATTTCCAAGTATTGAGGTTTTCAAAAAGGTTTTGTATTCTGTGGATAACTACTAGTTGAACTTCTTTGAGGGGGGTGATGTAGAGAGAAATTTCTTACTCCACCTCCTAACTCTAGCCTTAGTTTCAGTAGAACTAAAAAAACTCTCTCTTTATTACCTAAATGGATTTATACTTCCATCAGTATACATTTTCACAATGTATGCCTATTGTCATTTGTTACCATCAATGTTTTTAATTTTGCCAAAAATTTATGTAAAAATATTTTGCTATTTAAAAATTTATTTTTCTCTAATTATATATTAAGCTGAACTTATTTTTTTGGTATTCTGAATTACCTTCATATCCTTAATTCTTATCTCTGGATATGTTGCAATTATTTTCTTTCCCTTGGTCATTCATCTTTTAACACTTATGGCATCTGCTTTTTTACAAAAGCTTTAGTATTAATTTTATGAGTAAGAGAAGATGAACAATACATTTCTCTTAGTTTCATTTTCATATATTTTACCAAAGTTAAGATGGTAGTAACATATGCCCATTAGCCCGGCACTGCGCCTCACTTGGCTAATCCTCCGCCTGTGGCGCCGGTACCCCTAGTTCTAGTCCCGATCGGGGCACCAGGTTCATCCTGGTTGCTCCTCTTCCAGTCCAGCTCTCTGCTGTGGCCCGGGAAGGCAGTGGAGGATGGCCCAAGTTCTTGGGCCCTGCACCCGCATGAGAGACCAGGAGGAGGCACCTGGCTCCTGGCTTCGGATCGGCACAGCGCACTGACCGTAGCGGCCATTTGTGGGGTGAACCAATGGAAGAAAGACCTCTGTCTCCCTCTCTCTCTCTCTCTCTCACTGTCTAACTCTGCCTGTCCAAAAAAAAAAAAAAAAAAAAAAAAAAAAAGATATGCCCATTAGTATCAATTATTCTATTTTCAAATATTTTGTTTTCTTTGGTTATTTGTGTTTTAACTTTGACATCTGTTTTCTTACAAAAGTTTTAATGTTAATGTTTTGAGAAAAGGATACCATATGGAAATAAATACACTTCTTTCATGTTCATCTTCATATAATTTATTAGCAAGGTTAAAATGAAAGTAAATGTATGTTTATTAGTAGTAACTTGTATTTCCAAAGAGTCAAAAAACATTCATCTTTATCTGCTTTTCCCTATTTTCTAGGTTATCCATAAATATGCTAACATCATATCTGCTAAAATCTGACAGAAAGGACATGACAATATTGTAGAATTCAGAATCTTGTGGGATTTTCTCTTTGTTTGTTTCATGAGGCCTTTGTTGAAATTGTTGAAATTTTTTCCTTCATGAAACTGTTGAGCAAGAGGTTAGGAATGGGCACTAAATAGATTATCTTGTTATAGCCATCTTGTGTTAGCCACTGGATGACTTCAACATAACCACAGCATCACTGGACTTTTATCAACTTGTCTTTTTTTGAAACTGTTCATAGGGGGAGAAAAGATTGCTGAATAAGAAATTTTGGAAATCTCAGAATCCAACTAGCCATATTTAAAATAATTTTACTTTTCAGAAGTTTAGGCATAGACCTAGTTTCTGGCAGAGCTCCTCAAAAATGTATGTTGCAGAAATAATTTTCATATGACTGATCTGTTTCTTTTTCTAGGTGGTGAGTTATCTTACCAATTATTCCTAGAGCTGCCACTAAATGTGGTAAATGAATCTGCCCGAGCCTCTGTTTCAGTTTTGGGTGAGTGCCTAGCCCTCTCCAGATTTGGGCACTAACATCTTCTACCATATTTCTTTTTCATTAATATTTATTCAAAATCACAACAATAATTTTAAGTTCTTTCTTCTCCCCTTCTTTTGGCTTTTCTATCAATACCAATCATATTTCTGTTCCCAAAAGATTCAACCTTCCTAAAAATCCTCATTTTTACTAGTTTATTTTTAATAATTCTGAGAGATTATAATCTCTGAACTTTATGACTTCCTATCTCTCTCATTTCCCAGGAGACATATTAGGCTCTGCCATGCAAAACACACAGAATCTCCTCCAGATGCCCTATGGTTGTGGAGAACAGAATATGGCTCTCTTTGCTCCTAACATCTATGTTCTGGATTATTTAAATGAAACACAGCAGCTGACTCCAGAGATTAAGTCCAAAGCCATTCACTATCTCAACACTGGTGAGTGATTGAATGAGTGAGTAGCAAAGTGACAGTGTTACTTCAATTGAATTTTCCAGTAGACTTGAGTTACTTATCAATACTATGATATATTAGCTTATCACACTATGAAAACTACAATGATATCAATTTCATGAAAACCATCCACTCTCCTACTTCCAATAAAATGTTTAAGGCTCAGAATCTTTTAATATATTACAGAAAAATTTAGGAAGGGTCACAAGAGATGCCAGGCATTTTAGAAGTTTTTCTAGTCTCATCATGCACGTTAATTTATCATTGTTTTGTTACCCTCCCATTCCAGGTTACCAGAGACAGCTGAATTACAAGCACCATGATGGTTCCTACAGCACCTTTGGGGAGAGATACAGGGGTGAGGGCAATACATGGTAAGGGAAGGACAATTTTTTGAGCTCCTATTATTGTGACAGTTCTTTGATATATATTATCACAGTATTCACAACAACCCAATAATATATGTATCGTTAGACCTATAGTTGGTTATACTAGGTTAATAAAACAAGATTAGAAAAAAAGATGATACTAAAATATATGCTATTATACTTCTTCCCAAAATTCATCCTGTTAATAATATACCAAAGTATTCTCTCTAAAGCAGTTATTCTTTTTAAAACAATTGCCATAACCATGAATATTTAGATGATCTGACCAGGAATATATCAAATAATTTCCAGATAACTGTTAACTTTAGTACATATTATATTTCTTAGAAAATATTCATCTTAATAGAAGTAAAGATCTGAAAAGACAATGATATAAAATGTTTTTAGTATCCCTAAGGTAAAATGATTTAGAAGAGCTTATTGTACTTAAGAGAGCATGTGAGATTCTCTTGCTACAGAATGAAATTTCTAAAGAGAAGAGATACTGAAAGTCTTACTCAAATAGCTAAAAAAAAAAAAAAATTAGAAGTATTTGGACTCCCTGTGGCAAAGAGTAATTGAGTCTGCAAAGAAATACTAGATATAGCACATTAATCAAAGAGAATAAAGAAGTAAGACTTCAAAATTTTCAAGAGTTCCCTGTTAGATGACTCATTGTATAAGAAATGTTATATAAAACCTGTTGCTGTGAAGTAGCCATGAAGCCATGTTAACAACATAAATATCATCACCATGTCCTCACTGCTTAGGCTCACAGCCTTTGTTCTGAAGACTTTTGCACAGGCCCGAGCATATATTTTCATCGATGAAGCGGACATTACCCGAGCCCTCCTGTGGCTCTCCAAGAAGCAGAAGGATAATGGCTGCTTCAAGAAATCTGGGTCACTGTTCAACAATGCCATGAAGGTGAGCTGTTCTGGAGCTGGCTTTGATTTGTTCATTATGGTATCTACCGGGATGGGAAGAGGAAGTAAGAAATGCCTAAGAGAGGGTATCAAGAAGAAAACAAAACAAGGATAATTCTGAGAAAGAGGGAACTTAGCTTGGGTATGACACTTTGCCCCATGGAGATGAATATGGGTAAGGATGAACTTCATGACAGAAGAATTGAAAGAGCTGGTAGGAGCATTCTCAGAAGTTGAATGACTCCATTCTCTCCCTCTGCTGTGTTCATAGGGAGGAGTAGATGATGAAGTGACTCTCTCCGCCTATATCGCCATTGCTCTGCTGGAGATTCGTCTCCCAGTCACGGTAGGCACCATTCTGTTCCCCTGCTAAAAAAACAGGAGTTCTGGATGCAATGCATCCACTGACCTGCTGAATGAAATGCTATCCTACTCAAAACCATTGCCAGCTTTCCTTCTATACAATGTCAGTGCTTCCCAGATCAACAGAAAATCAGGCCAATTCATTAAGAAAGGTCTAAACTTTTCTAGCAATATCTTTGGTCTCTTTCTCCCCTATCTCCCACTTCCCCCTCAGAAAGCCCCTAAATATATGTCTCTATACCTACCTTTTGAAAATGAGAATAACAGATTAAAAAATATTATTCTCTCTAGCCAAAAGAAAGAGGAATAGATGGACAAATTCATTTGAAAAACTTCTTTACCTCCTGTGCTATGATCTGTCTGATTTCCTGGGGTTGCTAGCACCCCTGCTCACAGAGCTCAGTTCTCTTCTTGTTCTCTTTCAATAGCATCCTGTTGTTCGCAATGCCTTGTTCTGCCTGGAGTCAGCCTGGAAGTCCATAAAAGAAGGAGCCCATGGCAGCCACGTCTACACCAAGGCACTGCTGGCCTATGCTTTTGCCCTGGCAGATAACCAGGGAAAGAGGAAAGAAGTACTCAAGTCACTTGATGAGGAAGCTGTGAAGAAAGGTGAAAGTACACCCGAGAACTTTTTCCTATCCCATAACTGCATTGCAAAAATGCCTTACTCCTACTTCCTGTGATCTCTGTCCTTGCTTTTTTTTTTCTTTTTTTGACAGGCAGATGTAGACAGTGAAAGAGAGAGAGAGAGACAGAGACAGAGAGAAAGGTCTTCCTTTCCGTTGGTTCACCCCCCCAAATGGCCGCTATGGCTGGCGTGCTGCGCAGATCTGAAACCAGGAGCCAAGTCCTTCCTCCTGGTCTCCCATGCAAATGCAGGGCCCAAGCACTTGGGCCATCCTCTGCTGCCCTCCCGGGCCACAGCAGAGAGCTGGATAGAACTGGTGCCCCAACCAGGACTAGAACCCGGGGTGCCGGCGCCACAGGCAGAGGATTAGCCAAATGAGCCATGGTGCCAGCCACTCTTCTTTTTTTTAAGCAACATATACTTTGTCCATTTCTTATTTTTCTAAAATATAAGATCTCTTAATTAAATCAGACATCAAAAGATAAAAGTAGGTACAAGATAGCAGTAAGTTTCTCAGCCTTTGGAGAATAGCTCCAAAATGTACTATCTACATGATGTTGGGCAAATCATCAATTTATCTGTGTTTCAGTTTCTTCATTGCTAAAATGTGAATAATAATAGCATTTACTTCATAGTTTTTGTATTCAATCAATTAACATACATAAAGCACTTAGTAGGGACTATGCAACATAGTAAATGCCAAAAGTACAAGATATATTATTAATATACCAGTTGTTGCTATATATACCCACCCTTATCTTCATTTATCTTATACTTTATATCATCTTGAAGATTGATTGATTGACTTGAGAGGGAGAGAGGGAGAGAGGGGGAGAGGGAGAAAGTGAGAGAGGGAGAGAAGGAGAGGGAGAGAGAGAGAGAGAAGTCTTCCAACCACTAGTTCACTCCAAATGGCTGCAATGGCCAGGGGCTGGGCTATGTTGACAAGAACCCCATTGAAGTCTTCCACATGGGTAGCAGGAGCCCACATACTTGGGCCATCATACACTGCTTTCCCAGGTGCATTAGCAGGGAGCTGGGTCAAAAGTGGAATATCCAGGATTCAAACTAGCCCTCAGATATGGGATACCAGCATCATAAGCAGAGGGTTTACCTGCTGTGCCACAATACCAGCCCCACTTCACAACATCTTAAGCATAAGGAAAGATTGATGGAAGGAATCACATGAATAAATTACAGTGTTTTAAACTCATTTAACAAGATTAATCCTGTTTATCAGTCCATTATATTCATACACACACAATACTTGGACATATACCACAGTCTACATGATGGGTCAAAGAAACAAAATAAAATGCAAATGATAGGACATCCAATAAATATATTCTTTCTCCTTTGTCAGTGCCATTAATTATTTTTAAAATGTATTTCAGCTATGCAAAAATGCATAAAGAATAGTTAGCAAACACCTGTGCAACTCCCTCCAAGCTTAACAAAATGTTCCCAGTGCAGGAAAAATCACCTGTGGACCACTTTTACTTCTCAAATTCAACACTTTGCTGATGAGAGTTTTCTAAGTGGGTGCCTGTAGCTCCAGTTCATTAATTTTCACTGCTGTAAAATATATTACATTGTGTAAATATGTCATAATGCATATGGGGTTTCTCCCCGTGGATCATTTCTCATTATTTTTGGTGATTACAAAGCTGTCTCCTTGTGGAGTTCCTCCAAGTTATATTTCAAGATTCATATTAGCAAGCACATATTCCCCTTTGCTGAATATTGCCAAATTGTTCTCCAAAGAGCAACTGGCTTCCTACAGCAGTGTACATTGGTTCCCATCATTTCACACCCATGGCACTCTCAGCTATTTTAAGGATTACTGCATTTCTTTCCAACCAATGTATGTGAAATCTATTATTTCATAGAATCTGTGATCCTTACAAGGAACCTCTCAGGAGAAGTTTACAGGAACTCAACAAACTCCAGACAAGTTCTAGATAACATCAGGAATAGGAATTAGCCACATTAGTGAGAGAACTCACTCTGCCAATTCTTTCTCCCACCAACCCAAGTATAGCAACTATTTAAAAATATAGATGGTCAAGGGTTTCTGAGCCAGCAACACCATCTGCCATAGTTGGGCAGAAACACACCAAGTTCAGATTCACATAGAAGAAAACTAATTTATATAAGGTTCAGGAGTTTATCACTGAAAAGCAACCCTTGTTATAGCTTCAGCTTGGGTACTTTCACCTTAAATTAAATATGACTATGAATTCACATATAAGTGTATGTTTCTCATCCTTAAGATAACTCAGTCCATTGGGAGCGACCTCAGAAACCAACGACACCAAAAACCAAGGCTCCCTCTGCCGAGGTGGAGATGACGTCCTATGTGCTCCTTGCTCACCTCTCAGCCCGGCCTGCCCCAACCTCGGAGGACCTGACTACTGCAACGCTCATTGTACAGTGGATCACAAAGCAGCAGAATGCCCAAGGCGGCTTCTCCTCCACCCAGGTCAGTGACTTTTCAGAGCTGCTCGCTTCACCTTCAGGTAGCAAAAGGTTAGAACAAGGAGGAAAAATGAAAATGGCAATAACCTTAAATGAGGAAAAGGTTATTAAAATTCAGGAATGAAAGTCAAATAGGACTAAAAAGAAAATCCCTAGAATTCTGGCATCACCTCCCTGGGTTATTATCATGTTTTTTTTTTTTTTAATTTTTCAATTTCCAAAAACAACTCTACCTCCCTAAAATAGTAGTGAGGCACCAGCAGAATGAAGGAAAACACTTTCCATTCTTCTGAAAGTTTTAAGAATCTTAGCATGTTCAGAGGAACTCTACTCAAAACCCAACAATCTCTCCTGCATCTCTCTCCATTCTTAGCTCGCTTGCTCTCTCTCTTTCTTTTAATCAAGTGATCAGCAATGAGTATTCTGTCATTTCAGGTCAGTCCTGAAAGATGATTGCCATCATTTCATTTAGCTCTCTTTTAACTGGCATCTTTAAAAAAATTTATTTATTTGAAAGGCAGAGTGACAGGAGGGAGAGAAGGAGAGAAAGAGAGAAAGAGAGAGAGAGAGAAAGAGAAAGAGAGAGAGAGAGACTGCCCATTTCTTGGTTCACTTCCCAAGTGGCCACAAGAGGCAAGAGCCGGGACTGGGCCAGGCAGAAGCCCGGAGACAGGAACTCCATACAGGTCTCCCATGTGGGTGACAGGGGCCCGAGTACTTAGACCATCATCTGCTGCTTTCCCAGACACATTAGCAGGGGACTGGAAAGGAAGCAGAATAGCCAGGAATCAAACCAGTACTCATATGGGATGTTATTATCATAGGCAGTGGCTTAACCCACTGTGCCACTATGTCAGCCCCATAACTGGCTTTTTTATTAAAGCAGACACATTTTGCGCTGCCCTGTCTACCTCTTAATCTACATTTTTTCATCACAGCATAAAGAATTGTCTTTATTCATGTACTCTCCCAAGCCTAACTAAATAATCATATATTTAAATAATTCATCAATATAGACAAGCAAGAAATTTTATCTTCAGAGAATTTATGTGTTAGCATAAAAGAGAAGAGAATGGGGCAAAATGTGTCCAAAAATCTTATCCTTTTCCATTGTGCTTACTATCTTATTTTTCTATATGAATGAGAAAAAGCTAAATGTTTCTATTGAAACACTTGTCATTCATCTCTGTAGGAATCTTTTCTCTAAAAGAAGTCATTGAGGTTCAGTGTTGATGAATACAGGGAAAATTTCATCTCAGAGGGAGTCCAATGGGAACAGGAAATATTCCAATTAGAAAGCGGGGGGCTAAAAAATGTCACCAAATCAAGAAGATGATTAAATATGCATCCTTTATTCCCCTGGGAAAGCCAAAGCATGATCCTGATCATGGCTGCCAGGCATCTCATGTTCCCTCAGAGTACTGACCTCAGCAGCAAGGTTTAATCTGGGGAGAGAGTCGAATGACCCCTGGTTTGGTAGTGGCAGATATGACTGAGTTGCCATGAAAGGCATGTCAGATAAATAACTGATTCCAGTAAATGATCCCCATTCAAATCTACTTTCCATTTTCGATGGCCCGTCTATATTGGAAGAAGGAAATGATCAATTTTCTGATAAATACAATAAATTCTAGGATATGCAGTCCAAAGTAGGTATGTGAATGCCACGGCTGTGCATTCATCTAAAGGCTATAATCACTCTTGAAACTACAGCTCTAACTTTTGTAAAAATATATTTATTTATTTGAAAGGCAAAGAGAGAGAGCAAGAGAAAGAGAGAGAGAGATGTCTTTTTTTTTTTTGACAGGCAGAATTAGACAGTGAGAGAGAGAGAGAGAGACAGAGAGAAAGGTCTTCCTTTTTCCGTTGGTTCACCCCCTAAGTGGTCACTACAGCCGGTGCGTTGTGGCCGGTGCGCTGTGCCGATCTGAAGCCAGGAGCCAGGTGCTTCCTCCTGGTCTCCCATGTGGGTACAGAGCCCAAGGACCTGGGCCATCCTCCACTGCACTCCCGGACCACAGCAGAGAGCTGGACTTGAAGAGGAGCAACCGGGACAGAATCCAGCACCCCAACCGGCACTAGAACCCAGGTGGAGGATTAGCCTAGTGAGCCGTGGCACCAGCAAGAGAGAGAGAGAGAGAGAGAGAGAGAGAGAGAGAGAGAAATGTCTTTTATCTGCTGGTTCACTCCCCAGATGGCCACAACAGCCAGAGCTGCACCCATCTGAAGCCAGGAGCCAGGATCCTTTTCTGGGTCTCCCACGCAGGTGCAGGGCCATGGCCTTAGGCCATCTTCCTCTGCCTTCCCAAGGCCATCGCAGACAGCTGAATCAGAAGTAGAGCAGCCCAGACTCGAACCAGCGCCCATATGGGATGGTGGCACAGCAGGCAGCGGCCTTACCCACTATGCCACAGCTCTAATATTACCCCATGGCTCTAATATTTAAGTAGTGAGGGAAACAGGAAATCAAAGCTCCTTTGTGGCAGCTGACAGGAGTCTTTGCAGCATATGTCAGCCCCCAAGGGGTTTTCATACCTGAGTTGTTTGCACTCATCTCTTCCAGGACACGGTGGTTGCTCTCCATGCTTTGTCCAAATATGGAGCAGCCACTTTTACTAGGACTGAGAAGGCTGCAGAGGTGACCGTCCAGTCTTCAGGGACATTTTCCACAAAATTCCAAGTGAACAACAACAACCGCCTATTACTACAACAGGTCTCATTGCCAAAGTTGCCTGGGGAATACAGCGCAAGTGTGGCGGGAGAAGGATGTGTCTACCTGCAGGTGAGTCTTGGGCTGATGAAGATGGAGGGACTAGGGCAGCTTTGTTCAAGGACAAGTCCTAATGCAATAAACCATGAGAGCAAACCATGAGAGTCAGGGGAGCTGAGAGGCATTCTGGGGATAGGAGAAAAACAGATTTCTGTCTTTAATATCTCATAGACATCCTTGAAATACAATGTTCTCCCAGAAAAGGAAGATTTCCCATTTGCCTTAGGGGTGCAAACTCTGCCCCAAACTTGTGATGGACCCAAGGCCCACAGCACCTTCCAGATCTCAATGAATCTCAGGTAAGGCATCCTAACTGTATCAGCTAATTCTGAGAATAACAACTAATTTCTTACTGAAACTTCTCATTAGTTAGAGTAGTATAAGGATAAAGAATTGGACCACATTTGTTGAGATGCAAGCATGCTTGTAAGTTGATACAACAGAATTTCTCAATGAAGGATTTACATGGTCTGTTTTCTTCCTCTAGAAGTTTTTATTGTTCAGTTTCATTATTTAAAGGTTATTAATTCCCATCAATAATAACTAAGAAATATTACCCCTCTGGCCTGAATTCCTCCTAATGCAGTAAGGTTTTCTCTATGCAGGAAAGATCCAATTCCTAAAAAATTTGAATAGAAGGAAGCCTGACTCTGTAATTAGAATTCCTAATGGAAATAAGTAAATCTCAGATCATATACAATATTATCAACTTGAGAAGGAGGGGCATAGTTATATGCAGTGATATTCAAATCACTTACAAAAATGTATCTTGGCCAGTGCCACGGCTTAATAGGCTAATCCTCCGTCTGTGGCACCGGTACCCCGAGTTCTAGTCCCAGTGGGGGCACCGGATTCTGTTCCGGTTGCCCCTCTTCCAGTCCAGCTCTCTGCTGTGGCCGGGAGTGCAGTGGAGGATGGCCCAAGTCCTTGGGCCCTGCACCCGCATGGGAGACCAGGAGAAGCACCTGGCTCCTGGCTTCGGATTAGTGCAATGCGCCGGCCACGGCGGCCATTGGAGGGTGAACCAACAGAAAAAGGAAGACCTTTCTCTCTGTCTGTCTCTCTCTCTCTCTCTCACTGTCCACTCTGCCTGTCAAAAAAAATGTATCTATCCACAGGAATATGATAATGTAGTTGGAGATACTGTTCAGGAAGAAGGTTAACATCAAGTGCATGTGATAAATAACTGGCAGAGATTACAGGCCTCCGGTCCATACCTCACTCAAAATGCTGATTCTGAGAGTCTACACACTTGAATAGGGCTGGTCTCTGTAGCTTTAACAGTATCTGTAGTAAAAATTATAATATATGACCAGTTTTCTGACCCACTGTGGTGAATATCTGAGAAGACTTGCATAGGAAAAAAGAATATTTAATAACACAGAAAAACCACACTTATTCCTTCTCTTGATATTCAGTTATACTGGGAGCCGTCCTATCTCAAACATGGTCATCGCTGATGTGAAGATGGTATCTGGCTTCATTGCCCTGAAACCAACGGTGAAAATGGTAGGTTTAGTACAAGCCAAAAAACCCTGTTTATATAATGTTTTCTGTATCCTTAGGCCAAGGCAATACTAACATTAAAATATTGTTAAACCAATCCCTGTCAAAACCTTATACTTCCTTCAAACTCAGAAATGTAATTTAGCACATTTGTGTAAGTGCCTAATATTGCACAACACTCTGCTAATAGACATGACTATGGGGGTGGGGGGGAAATGTCAGCAGGTTTCTATTTCACAGAGCTTAGAATCACATTAAGAAGAAAGAACAGGGCCGGCGCCGCGGCTCACTAGGCTAATCCTCCGCCTAGCGGCGCCGGCACACCGGGTTCTAGTCCCGGTCGGGGCGCCGGATTCTGTCCCGGTTGCCCCTCTTCCAGGCAAGCTCTCTGCTGTGGCCAGGGAGTGCAGTGGAGGATGGCCCAGGTGCTTGGGCCCTGCACCCCATGGGAGACCAGGAAAAGCACCTGGCTCCTGGCTCCTGCCATCGGATCAGCGCGGTGCGCCGGCCGCAGCGTGCTGGCCGCGGCGGCCATTGGAGGGTGAACCAACGGCAAAGGAAGACCTTTCTCTCTGTCTCTCTTTCTCACTGTCCACTCTGCCTGTCAAAAAAAAATAAAATAAAATAAAATAAAATAAAATAAAATAAAAAATAAGAAGAAAGAACAGAGGCCAGCATTGTGGCATAGCCAAGAAAGCCGCCACCTGTGACATGGGCATCCTAAAAGGCATATGAGTGCTGGTTCCTGTCCCGGATGCTCCACTTCCCATCCAGCTCCCTATAAATGCACCTGGAAAAGCAGCACCTGCATGGGAAACCTGGAAGAAGCTCTGGGCTCCTGTGGCCTAGTCCCAGCCCTTATAGTCATTTATGGGATGAACAAGTGCATTAAAGAGTCTCTCTCTCTCTCTCTCTCTCTCTCTCTCTCGCGCGCCCAACTCCCCCTCCCTCTCTCTCTCCCCCTCTCTCTGTGTAACTCTGCCTTTCAGATAAATAAACAAATATTTTTTAAAAAAGATAAAACATCGATCATGAACAAGTGAAAAAATATTAAAATGACTAGCTAACATAAACTACTGTATTAGAGAAGTTTTTAAAAAATGAGATTACTCAAGGTTAGAGCAAACAAAAACCCAACTCTCTCATGAAGAAATAGAATGGGAATTGAAACCTTAAAATATGAGTAACTCTCCAGTTTAGGATATTTAATTATTTTTTCTTCAGATAATGGGCTTTATACCTAGGTCATGTGCCATACTAATATTAAACCCTTCAATCAAATTACTCTATTTTTAATTTTACTACATTACCTCTTTGCTTGCAAAAGGTAAGCAAGATAATTTGAAGGAATTATATTCCCAGGAACATTTTGGTAAGAAGAAAATCTATCTATGGATCATCCAGATGTTTAATAAGTGAATGTTATTTATTAACATTTGTGTTGTCTGAATTGTCTTAAGCTTGAAAGATCTGACCATGTGAACCGGACGGAAGTCAGCACCAACCATGTCTTGATTTACCTGGATAAGGTGAGAGCCCTGACAGTGTAGTTGCAAAACCTCTGTGTGAGAATCCCTCTCATGAGTCACCTGGAAGTGAATGAATGCATTGAGGAGACTTCTCCATGCTAGAAACTTGGGATTTCCAATATTAATTCCAATGAATGTTCTCCTCTCATTTTATATATTTACACTATGGGTAAAATGACTTATTATAAGAATGGGATGTAAATATTTCTAAGACCCTTGAGCAAGAAATTCTCCACAAAATGTGCTCATGATATCCACAGTTACTTTGAAGATACTAATCAATGTGGGGAAGTAACCACTGTGACTAGTCAATTATTGTAACTGCAGCCCCCACCAATAATATGAAAGGTGTAATACTGTCAAGCTCACTAAGGATTTGGACCATAAAATACTAAGACCAGTCCACCAATAAACGTATCTGATCTTCTAGATACACATGGTATCATAGTTTATCCAAACATATATTGATTGGAATTATTGTTTGTAAATTTTACAAAACTGAAACAAAGCTGCAATGATCAACCTTTCATATATGTCTTTGAGTCTATGGAAGTATTTCTACAAGCTTCAGAAGTGAAATTGTACCAAATCTCTGGATAGTTAAAAATGAACACAGATAGGCAACCAATCAAAAGTATGTGTCATTAACTCTCTATGAATAGATAGGTATTGGTATTTATAGGGACATATGAGATATGTTAGTTAAGAAGTAAGTTATTTGGGGGAATTTCTTATACACTCTGAGGGCTTTCTGTGTGATTTAAGAACCTCACAGTAGACTATTAGTTGATAAAGTTCTTTTACCCAGACAGGTGAATACTTAAATTTGCTCAAAGAGAGAAGAAAGGTTCCAGGAAGATCATTTAATTCCCTTTTGCTTTCTAGGTATCAAACCAAACACTGAGCTTGTCCTTCACAGTTGTGCAAGATATTCCAGTAATCGATCTGAAGCCAGCCATAGTGAAAGTCTATGATTACTATGAGACAGGTGAGTAAGAGTGAATGTCACATGGCAATTAAATGCTGATCACAGAAATTGAATTTGAGAAGAGCATTGGGATTATTTATTGAATTAAATTCTCTTATCACTTCATTTTATCTCCATTAAGTGTGATTCTCCACTTTTGTCTTCTATATACAATGTAGAAATTACCTACACTGTATTTATCAACTACTGTAGGGCATTCAGTTTTCTTTTCATCAGATAAATTAACTGTAGGGAAACATAAGATTTAAATAAATATTACATCTGAACTATCAATCAAGAATAGGGACAAAATACAGTGTGTTTGAAAGGACAATACAAAGCAGCAATCAGAGCATCAAGTGAAAGATGATAATGTTTCTGATACATTATACTTCTTTCCACAACAAAGATTCCTCCACTGGCCTGTATCCCACAGATGTCTGTTTTCCCTCTTAGATAACAGTGGTTTTTGTCTTTTTAGATGAGTTTGCAATTGCTGAGTACAATGCTCCTTGCAGCAAAGGTAAATGATTCCCATGCCCTCAAAATGCAGTCAGAATTTCTTGGCTTGTCCCCCAACATCTCCTCTTCTCAAAATTTTGGTTAAATATGCTTCACAGACCTCAGGCTATTCATATTACAATTATAGAACAACACATGTATTGGAGAAGACCAGTGATTCTGTCAAAATCTTTGAGGGTTCGGAGAATCTCTTGGGTGACAGTGTATCATAGAGCTCACTTCCCACTAAACTATTGGTATTTCCTGAGTCATACTGCTACCCAGAACAAAGGGGAGGAATAGTCTCTGCTCACAGAAATGCAAGTCTATCTGAATTTTCTTTTCCTTCACCACCACAGATGGAGGAAATGCTTGAAGGCCATATCAATGACAGTTGCTTGACTGGCGTCCCTGTTCTCAAGACATGAGAAAAAAAAAAGACATCAGAAAAAAAAAAAAAAACGATTTTTGTATCTCCAAAGGCTTAGGGTTGGGTTAATTTTATGAGTATAAAAATTAGATGAAAATTTATCTCTGTAAAAAATAAGAATGGGAAATGAGGAGGTAGGAGAAGGAAAGCAGGAGTATGGGTGGGAGGGAGGGTTGGGGGGGAGAATCATCATGTTCCTGAATCTGCATATATTAAATGCATGAAGTTGTATTCTTTAAACAAAATAAAATAGTAATAACAGACTTAACGAATAAACCTTTTTCTGATCAATCTCTATCACTGTTTGTTCAGTAAACCTTTGCTTACATTTCCATATGATTCCCAATAGAATACTGAGATTAAAACACATAGCAACAAAGGCAGAGGGACTTCAGAAGACAAAACCAGGTGTGCTGTTCTGAGTAGGTGTCATGTAGGGGTTTCAGGAAAAGAAGAAAAGTATTGGATTATGTATGACAAGAGAACAAAAGTGGTTTTGGTTATGGAACTACTCAAAGAAGAAGTCAGAGTGGATTTTTAAGAGCATATAAAAGAATGACATGGCAAGGAAATATTTTTCACTTTAAAAGGAAGAAATATATGAGTTTTTATTTATTTTTATCTATTTGAAAAAGCAGAGCAATAGAGAAGAGAGGTCTTCCATCTGCTGCTTCACTCTGCAGATTGCCAACAACTGGAGCTGAGGCAGGCCAAAGCCAGGAGCCTAGAATTTGTTCTGGATTTCCCACATGGGCAGCAAGAACCCAAGTACTTGGGCTAACAACTGCTGCATCTCAGGATGTGCTTTAGCAGGAAGCTGGAATGGAAGCAGAATAGCTGATACTCAGACCTTGGCACTCAAACCTAAGATTCAGGGATCTCAAGTGGTATCTTAACTGCTATGTCAAATGCCCTGTCCTAGAAATACAAGGTAGATTATTTTGAGAGGCAGCATAACTAGTTGGTTCAACAATGGATGACATACTCAAAGCAAGAAAGAAAATATGTGAGCAAAGCCAAATAGGAGTTTTATATTGAAGCATCTTTCTCTGGAGTGAGGATGAAAGGATAGCTATGAAGTGAAGGAGATATTCAGATGCAGAAATCGGCCCTCTCACAGGATCTAGTATCGTCATCTCTAGTGTCTTCTGTCTTTCTCTCTCTTTCTTGTTTTGAGATACTTTATTTTCCTTGCAGTGACTGGATGGGGAGAAAGCAGTTTCCATTAAGTGGAAGGGGAGAAAGAAGTTTCAGGAGAGTTTGCAGAAGTTCTAGGGAGAGGTTAGGATAGGAGGGTTCAGAGTCACGATATTCTCTGGGGGCAGTCCTAGGAGCCCTAGTCTTCTTTTGGCACCAAAAGGGTAATTAATATTCAATTTAACAGAAGGCAAGTGTGAGCAGCATAAACTGAGAATTTAAAAGGACTTTGAAGTTCAAGCAATGCTCAGTTCTATCTCTGGGCTGGGAAAAAATAAGAACATAAAAACCATCATTTTGGGGGATGGATGCTTGGCCCAGTGGAGAAGCCTGCAGTTAAGATGCCTGAGTCCCATTTCAGAGTGCTGGTTTGGATACCCATCTCTGACCCCCACCTCCTGCTTCCTACTGAATGCAGATCCTGGAAGGCAGCAGTGATGAACCCATGGTTAGGTCCCTGCCACCCATGACAGAAAGCTGGACTGCATTCCTGACTCCTGCTGCAGCCCCAGCCCAGCCCTGGCTCTTGTGAACATTTGGGAAATGAATCAGTGTTAGGATTCTCATTATCTCTTGTTCTCTCTCTCTCTCCACCCCTCAAATTAAAAAAAAAAAAACAACTCTCACTTTTGTGCAGGTTATACTCTCAGCACCTCACAGATACTAACATCAACTCCATGAAATCAACACTACTCTAACAAATCAGGAAAGTGAGGCACGGAGAGACTTCGTTTTCTCAAGTGCCTTAGCAAGGGACTGGCAGAGCCAGAATTCAGCAGCAAGGAGTCTCACTTCCAGGTCCGTGCTCCTAACCACAAACCATGCTGCATCTCCAGCCCACTTCAGACAAGAAGACCAAGAGGAAATACATTTCAAGACTAAAGAACATTATAATTAGCTCTCAAGGTAAGTAACAAACCAGGGGACAGAATGTGGTGAAAGAAATCCGAGTATGGCTAAGGAAGGAAGTCAACAAGATTATAATACATCCGATAACTTATTTCTAGTCCCTTTGTCTTTGTTCATGAGGAAGTCTTGGCTGTAAATATTCTAAATCTGTTGCAAATCATTAGTTCTATCACTTGAACCAAGATGATTCATTTCTGGAATAGCAACCAGTTAAACACTTACTGCCCTTGTAAAACCAGTTACCAACTGTCTACCTTGTAAAAACATTATATTATATAACACAAAATTTTAAACTATTGGATTTCTCCATTATAAAATCTCACCTCTGGAGGCAGCATTTTGTCGTGCACTGGATTAAGTTGCCACTTGTCACTCGCTCCGCAGGCTCGCGGAGGAGCGGCAACGGATTTGCTGTTGTCTCTTTCTCCGGTCCTCCCCGGATTAGCTGCCGCACCCCACCCCCCACCCCTGCCGCATCCGCGGAGGGGCAGCACATCCGCCGCTTCCCCCACTTCTGCGGAGGGGCGGCACCCCTGCCGCTTCCTCCACTTCCGCGGAGGAGCGGCACACCGCTGGCCGGCTCTCTCAGGGGTTCCTCAGATGTTCCTTCCGCATGTTGTCTCTCTCCTCCTTTATAGTCCTCTTCCACCAATCCCAACTCTGCTGGTATTCTCTCCCCATGCACTGAGCAGGCTGCTCTCCTCCAATCAGGGGCAGGATCAGCTCCTGCAGCTTGTTAGTCGAATTGGTGAGGCAGCTGTGTGGAAATTGTTTACTCCCTCTCAGGGCCATGTTGTGGGGGCCAGGCCCTGCTCCCCACAACTTGTGATTCCGGCATCCCATATTGGAGCACAAGTTAGAGTCTGTGCTGCTCCACTTCCATTTCAGCTCCCTGCTACTCTTCCTGGGAAAGCATCAGAAGATGGCTCAAGTACTTGGGCCCCTGCCACCCACATTGAGACCAGGATGGAATTCCAGGATCTCGCCTTTGGACTGGAGCAGACCTAGCTATTCTGGCCATTTAGGGAGTGAACCAGTGAACAGAAGATTGATCTCTCTGTCTCTGCCAATCTCTGTCACTCTGCCTTTCAAATACAGGACCTTTAAAAAAACTCACTTCTGAGTAAAAGCAAAAAATGTTTGGTAGGATCATTATAATACTATGTGACAAGTGCTGTTCTCATGAACTGTAGAGAAAATGACTCCCCACATTCAGATACGATCCTGCAGAAGGCGCCTAACTACAACTGAAAAGGGGATTCCCAACAACCTGATGACATGGGAATCTTGAAATTAAAATTAGGTAGAATTTTCAGGATTAATATATCTTTTACATCTGATTTTGTGAGTTGAGATTTATTCTTTTGGGGCCGGGACTATGGCGCAGTGGGTTAACATCCTGGCCTGAAGCACTGGCATCCTTTATGGGCGCCGGTTCAAAACCTGGCTGCTCCACTTCCTATCCAGCTCTCTGCTATGGCCTGGGAAAGCAGTACAAGATGGCCCAAGTCCTTGGGCCCCTGCACCTGCTTGGGAGACTTGGAAGAAGCTCCTGGCTCCTGGGTTTGAATCAGTGCAGCTCCGGCCGTTGGGGCCAATTGGGGAATGAACCATCGGATGGAAAAATCTCTCTGCCTCTGCTCTCTCTGTGTAACTCTGACTTTCAAGTAAAAAAATAAATCTTTTTAAAAAAGAGATTTATTCTTTCTACAAAAATATAAGGTGTTATGACAGGAAAAAAATCTGGAGTCACCTTTATATAGGAGTTTATAATTTTTGTATACTATTATGATAAATAAAGTGCTATTCTCTTTCATTTTCATATATGTGCCTAACCAGCATCTCCATATTCCCCACATTGGACCACTTGGTCAAAGGAAGGCATGCATCTGTGTTAGGTTTTTCTGATAATAACTCAAAGAGAAAAGAAACTATTTGAGTTCACCTTGTAACTATAAATGGTTCTAAAAATTATTTAGAACACATTAATAAATCAAAGAGTTGATCCTGGCAGATTAGTGCGTAACAATCTACAATATGAAAGAAGTGACAAGAACTCAGAATATAATAGAGAAACATCTAAACAATAACAAAATGTGTGGCTGAAAGCCGAGTGAGTACACACTCCCTTTACTGACACAGAAATACTGCAGGATTAATGCGAAGAGAAGAAAAGCAGAGCACAGAACAAGGTATAAACCCTTGGGATGACAAATAAAGAGTAGGGGAAGAAACAACATGTGTTCATATTCTGCATTTCCATGAAGATTGGAAGGATTCTCTCTCTCTCTCTCTCTCTGTTTCTCTCTCACACACACACAGAGAGACAACTACTAAAAATGTTTACCTATCTTTTTGAACACGATGAACTAGGTAATATTTTCAGGAATGGGAAAGAGACAACTTAGTAAATATGACTTAAGTTACTGGAACATTGAAGTATGTGAATACATTTACTTTTCTGAGAATTAAACTAACTAATCAATGAATGAAAGTGTGAGACTAAGAAATGTTGAATCACTAACTGCCAACCCATAAAGAGAAAGAATGCTTATTCTATCAAGTACAGTGAAACATATTCTACCACATAATCTTTTGGTCTTAAATAACAAATACTTCTCATATCTTTTTTTGTGAAAAATAGTTCCTGCTCTTGTTTTTTCCCTTCTTCTTTAATCTCTCCCTATTTCCCCAACTCCTCAAAACCAAATAGCACACTTTCACCCTAATCCATCAAATATTCCTATGAAAGCAACTTAACACCTTTATTCTAGATGATAATGCTTGCCTTGCAATCACTCAGTTCTTTACTTACTGAATAAAATAACAACATTATTGATAGAACCTTTTCCCAAGATTTCTTCTCTTGCTATAATGTCTGTAATTTATTTTAAATAATTTAACACAGATATTTTGGATAGTGAGGAAAATGGGCATTTATTGCAGAGCACAGAACAAGGAGCCAGACGGCTATCACTTAATTCCCAGACTCCCCAAGGCAGTCAAGGCAGTGAACCGTATAGTTTAAAGGTGGATATAAACAGTGCCTGATCAGCTTACACGTGGCCTCTGGTTGGTCTGCAGCACGTGGCCTTCTTTTGATTGGTTAGTGATGTGGACAGCATGTTTCTTTCAGCAAAAGTGGGCTCCAGCCTGTTTAGGTCCAAGGGCAGATTGAATATTAG